AGGGAGAAACAGATACTTTATATACTTGCCACAACAATTCAGGGAGAAACAGACACGTTATATACTACCCACAACAATTGAGGGAGAAACAGATACTTTATATACTGACCACAACAATTCAGGGAGAAACAGATACATTTTATACTACCCACAACAATTCAGGGAGAAACAGATACTTTATATACTGACCACAACAATTCAGGGAGAAACAGATACTTTATATACTTGCGACAACAATTCAGGGAGAAATAGATACTGTATATACTGACCACAACAATTCAGGGAGAAACAGATACTTAATATACTTGCCACAACAATTCAGGGAGAAACAGATACATTATATACTACCCACAACAATTCAGGGAGAAACAGATACTTTATATACTTGCCACAACAATTCAGGGAGAAACAGATACTTTATATACTTGCCACAACAATTCAGCGACAAATAGATACTTTATATACTGACCACGACAATTCAGGGAGAAGCAGATACTTTATATACTTGCCACAACAATTCAGGGAGAAACTGAATACTGACCACAACAATTCAGGGAGAAACAGATACTTTATATACTTGCCACAACAATTCAAGGAGAAACAGATACATTATATACTACCCACAACAATTCAGGGAGAAACAGATACTTTATATACTTGCCACAACAATTCAGGGAGAAACAGATACTTTATATACTTGCCACAACAATTCAGCGACAAATAGATACTTTATATACTGACCACGACAATTCAGGGAGAAGCAGATACTTTATATACTTTCCACAACAATTCAGGGAGAAACTGAATACTGACCACAACAATTCAGGGAGAAACAGATACTTTATATACTTGCCACAACAATTCTGGGAGAAACAGATACATTATATACTTGCCACAACAATTCAGGGAGAAACAGATACTTTATATACTTGCCACAACAATTCAGGGAGAAACTGAATACTGACCACAACAATTCAGGGAGAAACAGATACTTTATATACTACCCACAACAATTCAGGGAGAAACAGATATTTAATATACTACCCACATCAATTCAGGGAGAAACAGATACTTTATATACTTGCCACAACATTTCAGGGAGATACATATACTTAATATACTACCCACAACGATTCAGGGAGAAAGAGATACTTTATATACTTGCCACAACATTTCAGGGAGAAATAGATACTTTATATACTATCCACATCAATTCAGGGAGAAATAGATACTTTATATACTACCCACAACAATTCAGGGAGAAATAGATGCTTGATAATACTTGCCACAACAATTCATGGAGAAACGGATACTTTATATACTTGCCACAACAATTCAGGGAGAAACAGATACTTTATATACTTTCCACAACAATTCAGGGAGAAACAGATACTTTATATACTTGCCACAACAATTCAGGGAGAAATAGATACTTGATATACTTGCCACAACAATTCAGCGAGAAACGGATACTTTATATACTTGCCACAACATTTCAGGGAGAAACAGATACTTTATATACTTTCCACAACAATTCAGGGAGAAACAGATACTTTATATACTTACCACAACAATTCAGGGAGAAACTGAATACTGACCACAACAATTCAGGGAGAAACAGATACTTTATATACTACCCACAACAATTCAGGGAGAAACAGATACTTTATATACGGACCACAACAATTCAGGGAGAAACAGATACTTTATATACTTGCCACAACAATTCAGGGAGAAACAGATACATTATATACTACCCACATAAATTCAGGGAGAAACAGATACATTATATACTACCCACATAAATTCAGGGAGAAACAGATACTTTATATACTTGCCACAACAATTCAGGGAGAAACAGATACTTTATATACTACCCTCAACAATTCAGGGAGAAACAGATACTGTCACAAACAGGTGTGGTTGTCTCAGGCCCAGACAAGAACGCGGTAGATTTCAGCGCTGCTCCCGTGTAGTAACAGCAGTGCCGTTTTCACCATCATGTTGGCGGTAAAGACTGGGGTATGCTGGACAACACTGGGGATTGGCTGTGTCGTTACAAAGTGTTCTCAGCCGAGACAATATGTCGTCTCCTGTATGCCAGGGCAACACGTGTCACACATTTCTCGTCATTGTACCTTCACTCCCGTTCTTTTCACATTGTCGGTAGTATATTTTGATCATGAAAGTATGTACGTATGTGAAGATATGTTGGGAATCAGGCGCTTCCTGGGCATAATAACAGTATTTTATCGAATAGCCTGGAACATCTTTACTCATGTTGAATACACCAGGCCACTAACAACCCGTGCATGGAGGACCCATCTTACTGATGGTGTTTGGGGTGATGTGGTAGCCTAAGGGCTAAAGCTTTCACTCGTCACGCCGAAAAGCCGGGTTTGATTCCTCAGAAGGGTACAATGTGTGAAGCCCATTCCTGGTGTTCCCCGCCGTGATATTGCTGGAATATTGCTAAGCGGAGTAAAACTAAACTCAATGGGGCAAACAGGCAGGGTGGCAAACCTTTCCATCGCAACCATGTCCACCGACATTATCAAAAGAAAGCCCAAAACAGTTGAGTTAAGCAGGTAAATACCGAGCACTCCTTCGTTTTTTATTTGTTTTTGGGGCGTACTGCAGCGATATACCATGAACCAGTATGATGATGTTCTCAGCTATATACATGACATGCAGGTGTGCCATAGAGAGACAGATGAGAGGCCGGTAGTGCCACCAAAGGGATATGCCCTTTTTCAGAACAGTGATTGTGGTCCGAATCTAATGTTAAACAGTGACGTACATGTGACTATCTGCAATCCCGCATGTCCAATGCGTGATGTCTTAATGTGAAAAGATTCTATTCTTTGGCGACGGTAACCTTGCTTGCCGTTGGTTGGTGTCGTACATTGGACCGCGTGTGGAAAGGACAATTTATTTTAAAGAAAGACTATTTTGTTGATGATGTTGAACAAGACCACGGACACCCCTTGTATGGGAGATATGGGTAAAGTGACTGACACTGTTCAGATAGCCAGTAGGATTTAATATATGTGGGTTGTTCATAAAACTATTAATTTATAATATTCGTGTGATCAAATTGTTGCGTGGATGCAAGCCTCTTAATGATATAACCCACTTTTATCATTAAGATTTAGATTTTTGTTTAAATGTTTTGAGTTTTTCGGAATTACAACATACACACACTCATACACGCACGCACGCACGAACGCACACACACGCGCGTGCACGCACATTGTCCACAGTGTCAATCCAGTCGCTCAGAAAGTATTCAACAAGACATCATTGGGGATGTGTGCAATGAATATCACCTTGGATAGCATTCACCAACTGTCACGCAGCCCAAATCCTCATTGTATACAGACCTACCGTATCGGTAGCAAACTACTTAACATGAGCTAAATTATGACATTAAAACATACATTAGAACAGTTTTGGCATACATTTCCTAATCCTTCAGTGTGTGTATTTACTTCTTGAATCCCAGGTTAATTCTTGTGTCGTGAAAACACAGCGAACATGTAAAACCTTAAAATAGAATCACCCAAACTACCATTGCAGGCCACAACAACGCAGGTATCCCAGGCATGGGAGATACATTCTAGTCCGTCGAGCCTTTCACCTTTATACACATACTAACCTGTTCGGGTTTCGCTTTCGGAAGGTATCAGTTTGAAGCAGTTACCGATTTTCCGATTGTCTACTGACCTGGATAAATAGAAATGTCCCCATTGATGCACTCGGCGAAAGGATAATTGATGTAGTAAGCACTCTGTCAAACATTCTGCATGACATCATTCATCTTGTGCAATAGCTCCGGTAATGTATTAAATGTTGGCATTCTCTTTCATTGCCATGGTTACGTGTATACTAAACACGGTTGTATCAGACCTTACTGTGAAAGGAAATCTTACTGTACACAACAAGACGCTTGGCTAGTGTACTGCCAAGGAAGTTGAGTAATCATCCACATACGCACTGATTTACCGTTAATGTGGTCAAATCTAGAACATGAACAGTTTTAGTGGCGGTACGTATTCCTATACAACTCCCATACTACATCTATCAGGCGTCAATACTTTGTTTATTCAATTTCATTTCCCTTCTATGCCATTTCTATCTAATACTATTGCTCCTTATTCAACATATCTGTTATTTCTGCCCAGTGTTATCTTTACTTATTTTCAATGACTTTGTTGCTTTTGTTTTGCTCCCATTGTTTCATCAATATTACTATGAAGTTTCTTAGCGTAATTGTGTTGTCCAGACAACTGACATTCTGCCGACATACCTTGAAATGTACGAGGGTTGTAAACACGTGATTCCTGGGAGAAGATGCCGTGATGTGGACAACGTGTCATCTTTACTGGTGACCTCTTTGAGAAGAACAATAAAATGACAAACGTTATGGATAACAACGTATTTTACTTCGTAAAACACCGCGACATCCTGCTTGACAACGGTAGGAGAATCTGTTTCAAAATATCGCACTTACGAAATAAAAGAAGGTGTCATCCATAAAGTGTGTCATTGTAACTTTGGGAGGTGGTTTAGCATTTGCTCGTCACGCTGAAGACCTGGGTTCGATTCCCCACATGGGTACAATGTGTAAAAGCCCATTTCTAATGTCCCCCGAAGTGATATTGCTGGAATATTGCTAGAAACTGCGTAAAACCCAACTCACTCACTCATTTTAACTTTGCAAATATGACATTATTAACTGTAAGTCTGTGAAGTATCACCGTCAGAATTGCTAGAAAGCTGTGACAGAACACGCACAGTTGATACCATTTAATATACCAAACCATATAAAACCGGTTAATTAACATCATTTCAAGTCTAGATCAACACTGTCCACTGTCAGCGTGCACTGAAGTTACCTGCATGATTACCAGTGCACAACCACATACTTGACCTCTTTATTCAGACTACCCGTGGAAAGGCAAGTGGATAACTGAATCAATGGTTTACCCAAATGACGTCACAACATAGATCCAATCAAAACTACCTTCACCGTGTCCTCTTAAAAGTAGGCCAAACGTATCCGGCTGGTTTCCTTGAAACGTCTTCCCTGACGACTCGGTCACATCACTTCCCGCTTTGTTGAGACGTCTACAGTGACGGTGATGGGGCGGACATTTTAACTAGTTACAGTGTCCTGAATATTTACAAGAGGATTTCCTAATTTATTTCTCTATGGGTTAATGTGGATGAACAACTGATAACGTAAGTACATCAATTAGTTTACACTTGATGTTTTACAATGAACACATTCATACTACTGCTATACTACTCAAAGTTGGCTGAGGATCACCACTCTAAAGTCAAACTGTTTTCATCTGTTTAAATAGTCAAAGTCGATATTCCGCACTGACATGATCAATAAACACAACTCCATTGTCTTGTGCCAAGAAACAACCCACCAATAATAAGTTAAATATCACATCAAAATAAGACCCAAGCAAATCACGAGAATTAATTTTTGTTAAAAACTTCCACTCGCGTGATGCCGTCACAGTCTGCCACCACCGTCTCATGCTCTGGATGGTGGCCAGTGAAGACTGTTCCAGGCTGTTCTAGATCGTGTGTACGTGTATCTCCCTCTGATTACCAAATGGACCCTTTGTGAGCGGACACATGGACTTAGGTCATTCCGTGACATCAAGTACACTGCGATGTCGCGATCAAAAACGTGTCATTAACATTGGCCAGGTTCCAAATAGGGCTTACATATCCGGATGGGCGGATGAAATCGCGGGCAATAACACGAACACACAGGATCAGTGACAGTTAAGCTGGAGGAGCTTTAGTGGATGTGTTGTAATTTCACCCCTATGTGACTCAACTCATACCCAATGGCGGGATTTCCCCTCTATATTCCATTTCTGACAACATTTAGGTTTCATCCATGTCATCCTAACAGGTAACCTGATGATACATTCGGGTTGAAATACTCACTAGGACTTGAAATACTAGTGGCTTAGAGGTGATTGCAACACACACGAATGTTACTGAAATATCTTTTCTTTCTGTCTACTTGTGGCAGCAAGATAATGATTGTGTAGTCTTCTTTTCTGATGTCCCGGGCAATGTTGACATATGGCCGATATGCAAACACAATCTCCACTCGGCTAACACCGGGGAGTAAGCCGCTGTTAAATCCTACCTCACCTGTTCTAGTCACAATATCGGTCAACCTGAGTGCTCTGGAAGTAAAGGCTGAAAAGATGAGACTGTACTGGAGAATAAAAGTAAACATACTTCATATAAGTGAAGATAAATAAAGATAAATATATTCTGAAATTTGATGATGTATCTCCATACATATTCATGAAGTCATGTCGACTTCAAGATTCAACGTGCCTGATAATTTGTATGTTTGTGTGATTGGTATGAGCATGTTACTCATACAGGTGGGTTTTTATGTGAACAGCACAAAATGATTGTCTGTGTATCAGATGGTAGTGTATGCGGGGCCACGAAGGCACGGAAACTCAGATCCTGATATTGGGTCTCAGTTGGACTTCATATTTTGTGGGTTTAATGGATGTCAGCTTTACTGTGGACAAAGACGCAAGAGATATATATAGAGAGAGAGATTCTTTATTTCCTCCAGAAATCAATCCGAAGATTATTGATACATTAATTCAATCAAACATACAACACATTAGTATTTACAAACAGGACAATGTTATTCATAGTTGACAATTGATATGTACAGAAACATTCACAAAGGGATGGCGTCACTTGTGCCTCCATTAAAATACAAACTCAAGATATTGTTTCAAATGATGGACATAGTTTGCAAAGTTTATAATGACAGCATGGTATGTGTCCCGCACTAGGGATCGTGTGAACTGTGAGCTGCACCTTGGAGAGTTGACAGCATTTCGTCGTCTTCCAACATTTCAAAATTTACATAGGTTTCAACATCAAGTAGATCAATCAGAGATGAGAAAAAGTTATTTCGGAGACCTAATAATTTTTCACAGTGTAGTATCACATGGTTGTCATAGTCATAAGCGTGCTTGTTACAAAGCAAACATTCTTTTGAGATTTTATTTCGTGATGAAAGTTTCAAACATAATTGCAAGGCTGCTCTGTGTTCAGGGTATAAGAATGCTAAGTTCAAAAGTATGTGATATGTCAGTGATGTATGAGCTCGCATGTAACGAGACAGTCCTGCATTAAGTGATACTTTGTTACGCCACATGTGTTCTTCATATTCTTGTACGTGTTTGTTTATAATTCGTCTCCACTGGTGTTTGGGGGGAAATGAACCACTGTATAAGTAAGTATTTAAGTAGTTTCTAAGGTTGTATTTGCACAAAACAGACTGGAGATCTCCACAAATAGTTGATTTTCGGGGTGTATTAGCCATGGAAGCACAGAATATGTGTTTTATGACATTGTCACAACTAGTGTTGCATAAAGAGCCAAAGAACTGGAGTTTACTTTTATCAATGTAGCCAATCATGGTCCACAATCCTAAGTTTACAATAGTGGATTCAGACGGAGATCTCTTATCTAGTCCCTGGACAGTGCGGGCAAAGTACCGCTGTGTGTTTTCTAGCAACCAAAGTTGCTGCCCTTTAATGTCAAACAATAGTCACAGCCATAAAAACTTGTTTTCAGAATCATTCTTTGCCATATCTTAACACTGGTAGCTGGATGTAGGTCAGTGTTATTTAGCCCCAAGCATTTAAGGGAATTAACACTCTGTCTTGCCTTCTGACAGGACTTTTCAATTCTAGATTTACATGTTAAATCAGACGTTAGAAGTATACCGCCGATGTGTCAATGTGTTATTCAACATTCAGGGAGTATGCCCGTTGTGAAAAATTATTATTATCGGCCATTTACCAATATATGTGGAATGTAAACACATTATGGGTTAATACATGTGCAATGACATAAAGTACATGTTGCATATATTTCTATATATTTTGATCATTACACTTTCCAGAAAGAGCTTCTGATGTCTCTGTTACTATTTTTCAGGTTACTTTACAAGGCGCGTTTACCATGAATGATGGCAGAGAATCAAGCCATCTACCAGATGGGCATCACTCCTGGCATGGAGTACATCATGGGTCCAGAAGGCAGGCAGGCCGAGCAGGAGGCTCTCCGGGAGGACAAGGATCGCTCCTACAGGGTCATCCTCAACATTGTGGGCCGGGAGAGACAGGGCAAGACCAGCCTCAGGAAGATGTTGGCATGGCAGGAGTTCAGAGAGGATGAGGAAAGCACAGTTGGCATTGATCACGAGTTGGTGGAAACTGTCGGGGTACAACCGGCATCATCCTGGTCTCAGCTGGATATCCACATGTCAAACGAGAAAGAGTTTGATGCAATCCTAGGAAAACATGTTTTAGGAAGACTAAAGGAAAAAACGTCGCGGTTCAGCATTGGAAAGGTTGTAGCACCAGTTGTGTGTTTTGCTAAAATTGCGGCTGTGACTTATCTTATCCTTGGTTTGTTTCTCTGTGCTGTCTCAATGCAAAGCTTGGAGGGATATCCCTGGGTGGGAATTGTTGTAATTGGACTTTTTGGTGCTTCTGGTCTTGCTTTTGGGATACGAGAAGGATTTGGAATTGCAGTAGGAATATTCCACCAGATCCTTCTCTGTGAGGCGCTTTTGAGATGGGATGTTGGTGGGACGGTATTCAATAATTTGAAATCCGAATTTGGTTCAACATGTGCCATTTTCATAGGATTTTTGTGTTACGGTATTGGGGAAACATGTGTGGCGTTTTCGTTTGGAATGTCACTTGGGAGTAGGTATTGTCTGCACTTTCTGTCTAGCTCAGCCACCTCACACGACTGGAGAAGACCCATCTCAGTTATTCCTGTCTCCTCGTCTTCACATGTTCATTATGGGGTGTTACGTAGGACTTGGATCTGTCAACTACAGGTCTGTGTTGTTATATGTTGTAGCTCCACTTTTAGCCATAGTAATACACGTTCTACCTGAAGACTATGCCTTTCTCTTAATGTGTGGATTAGGTACGGGGCATTTTCATGCAGTTGGGCTCTCGACAGGACAAAATACCTACTGTATCATAAACACATATATCAAAAGCATCACAGACAGTCCTAGATGTCGTCGATTTATTCGTCACTTTCTTGGAACCATTCCAGGAACATTCATGATCTATCTATTCAATTGGAAGTTATCAGTCGTCTCTTGGAATTATGTTTTAATGTCCTTGTCTGTTGTAGCGACTATTGAAATTTTGAATAACCTGGCAACAGGGACTAAAACCTGTCCTGTCAAGAATCCAAGTAAGGTTATCGAGGCGAGAGTAATAAACACTAGTCTAAAACTGGTGCTCCGTGACTTTGCGGGTCATCCACTGTACTACACCGCTCATCACCTTTACATGACTGGGCAGTGCATGTACCTTCTCGTTTTCAGTATGCTGGACGCTTCAAGAGACTTTGACTTAGCTTTTGCATATCTTCTTCAATGGCTTTACTCTATCTATGTCCACCATGATTATCCAGACATCAGAGTCTTCATTGTTGGTACTCACAGAAATGACCCATCCCTCGATCAGTCTGTGATCATGAAACTAGGCCAGCGACTAAAGGAAGCATTGCCAAGACAGTTCCACAACATAGTGGTGTGGAATGACGATGACACTCCTCTATTCCCTGTGGAGAATTCAGTAAGAAATGATAAAGATAGCGATCACTTGAATCTGAGGAGGAGAATATTGAGGGAAGTAAGATACATTAACGTTAAGAAATACCCAATAAAGTACATCTACTTCTTCAAACTCATAGAGAAATTTCGCAAGGATGGGATATGTATAAAAAAATATGAAGACGTTTATGACATATGTAAAGAAAATGATTGTCTTATTGAATCGGAAGAAGATTTTGAAGAACTACTAAAGTTCTTCTCAAATACAGGAGAAATACTTTACATTTCAAAAGACAACATCCTGCGTGAGTTCATCATATTCAATCCTCACACCATTGTGAAGATCTTAAGTCAGCTGATAACTGTGCCGAAAATGTCTCAGCGTGAAAGGCACATACTTGAGGATTGGGAATGTTTAGAAACATTCGGTATATGTACCGAGAGGCTCTTCAGAGAAAATATACTAGGCTCATATCAAACTATAGATGTCTTTGGGGGGATTGAGAAAGCAGCATATTTGTTAGAAAGTTTCAATCTACTTTGCAAGATACAAACAAAACCAAGTCAGACGATGCGAGATCGGCTGTATCTCATTCCAGCGTTGCTACCGGAGGCACTTCCTTTGCCAGATAACTACTGGCCCGATACAAGCAACGATCACATATTTTTTGTCCAGTGTGTGCCTGCTCTTCCACTCCCGGCATTCCTTCGCCTTGTTTGCAAATGTGCCGCATTTGATGACAGTATTATATCAGACGATCAAAGCATAGTCCTTAACGCGTGTCAGACAAAAGCACTCTTTTCTTACAGGGACAAGTTCAGCTATAAACTGGAGATGCTAGATTCTAGTACTCCAAAATATCGAGACGAATCTCCTGAAGCTACGTGTGAGAACACGTCTTCAAGCTTTGATGCTGAATCTGTGCCAACACCTGACAAGCAGTTCCTCAGAATCGTTATACGTTGTGAGATTGGTGTTGATTATATTCAAATGGTAAATCTTCTCTGGGAGCAATTAAACCGAATTGTGAAAAGAGACTTTGCCAAATGTAAGCTGAAACTCGGGGTTGAGTGTCCATGCGAACCACCTCACCAGGATATGAAACACCAGGTAGGTTAGGCTGCATTGCATGTTTCATAATACTATCGTTTAATTCTAATGTGGATAACTGGAATTATTGAATTATTTAACGTTCTTGTTACTGGTCAATACGTCATCGTTTTTGTTGGTTACCACGCCATAATGAAATTTCTGGTAACACGGTGGCTGGTGCTACAGCTAAAGCAGCACTCAACAAATAGATATAATACGGCGAAGTAAACCAAATAAACAAAACGAAATTACGCCAACTATTGGTTACACCTCATTGGGCTGTCAGCCCAGGTTGGAAAAGGTCATTTATGCGACGATGTCGATTATAAACACGAATACTTATTAAAGGGTGAGGATCCTCCATTTTGTATCCCCTGTGATGAAAGAATCTCGATCAAGCATGTTCTGCTTGACTTTTCCATCACAAGGGATAAATAGTTCAATGTGAAAACAGCCAAGGATCTTTTAGTAATGTCAGTTTTCGTGTAAGCATCAATTTGTTTTATAGAAATAGAATTGTTTGAAAGGTTTTGATAATTATTTTTTTTGTAAATAAATAAGCACAATCGCCCAGTGATGGTGTAAATCTAGCTAGGCTTCATGCTGGAACGTCCTGTAATCCCCATGGTCCGTTGTATCTACCTTCAGTTATTGGCGATCTATACCGTTTTCATATTGTTTTGTCTTCAGTGGTAGATAGTTTTACATTTACATGCCAGTTTTACATCTATATCTGTGACATTCTAGTTGTTTAAACTGCCCTTCGTCGACAGGATTTATTATGTAAGTGTATGTCATGAATGTATACATATGCCTGAAACAATGCCGTGGTGACTACAGATATTAACTCACTCGCTCACTGCTGTGGGCATATCAGCATTTGTATTTACTGTCATATGTATGTATGCCAAGTTGAAGAATATTGATGGTTTACATTCATTAAATGACAATAGACTTATACAGTGGTACAGTTTTGACAGAAACAGTATTGTTTATATTTGTGATTTATATTTACATGTGTGCGAAGTTGGATATTGACAATTATCGCATATCTATTACAGACAAGCTTTCATATCCTGCCACTTGGAGACGATGACGATCACGATGGAGACACTGACTGTGTCAGGGCAAAACACTATTGGTGCCGTGGTAGAAAGGTGGCTGTCAGAAACGGAAAGGTAACAGTCAGAAACATCAGATGGGAAATATGTCTGTAGTGAAACTATCTTCTACTTCCGGTGAATTGAAATACGTATCCGCATACATACTAGGCACATAAAGAAACTGTGCATACAAAAATTTAAAATCTAAATTTATCAAACCTGTGTAGACACATAAGGATTTAAACTCAAGATTAGTGACATGTATCCAACATGCATGCACGTGCCATGTTCCGTGACGTTAGTGGGTTCGTCCTTGAGACGTGCAATACGTTGTTGCACGTGCATTCCGGGAAAGAGAAACAGAGCAAATGAATGCCACACAATACTGTCACTTTGAAAGCTCAACCCCTGCCCATGCGATCGTTCAAAAAATTAAACGGCTATTGCAACGCATAGCATGCCAAGGCTCACGTCTGCACAACGTCATGAGGCCATTGGGATGGTCCGTGAGGGAATGTCTCAACGACAAGTGGCTGCACATTTCCACTGCCACCGGACCACCATTTCTGCACTGGCGAGACGCTACCAGAACACAAATGACGTCATCGATCGGCCACGTTCTGGACGTCCACGTGTAACAACGCCAAGACAGGACAGATGGATAAGGGTGACCCATCTTCGCCACAGGTTTCAGACTGCAGTGATGACTGCCCGAACCATCCCAGGACTTCGTCGTATCCACCCCAACACAGTTCGACAACATTTACGTCATCACGGGATCAGACCACGACGTCCCGCCATACGGCCTATCCTGTTTTTACAGATGAGTCCAGGTTTAACATTTCCCGTAGTGATGGACGTCAACGTGCCTATAGACGCGTGGGAGAACGTTATGCACAGGCCTGTGTCTTGGAGAGGAATCGCTTTGGTGGTGGTTCCGTGATGATTTGGGGTGGAATAACAGAACGCCAAAGAACTCCTTTGGTTATTGTTCAGGGCAACTCAACTGGTGTGGGCTACAGGGATCAGACTCTTCGACCTGTGGCAATTCCTTTTCTGCAACGTCATGGCCCTGGGTTAACCTTCCAACAGGACAATGCCCGCCCTCATACGGCAAGGGTTGCTATGGATTTCGTGCAACACCACAACGCTGACTTACTGCCTTGGCCTGCAAATTCACCGGATCTCTCCCCGATAGAGCATGTTAGGGACGAGATGGATCGACGTCTACGCCGTCTTCCTCATCCGCCAGATAACGTCCTTGACCTTGCAACAGAACTTGAGAGAATCTGGCGTGACATCCCACAAGCCTTCCTTGCACGTTTGATAGGCTCTATGCGTCGTCGACGCACTGGTGTTCTCAATGCCGATGCTGGACATACCCGTTATTGAGCTTGTGACATGGTCGCTTGACCCCTGTCCCGCTTGTGGACTCGTGACGTCATTGTGATTGGCTTTTCAATTGAAATTCTCCCGACTTGTTATGGTCTCATCATCCTCTTCATTAAAGTTTATATGTACCTTTGGCATTGTCATCGTACTTATCAACTGGGATAATACTTTGACAATGCATAGTTTCTTTATGTGGCTAGTATATATCAAATACTGTAGTGATGAGAGCTAACTTGTTGTTTCGCGTTTAGAATAGGAAACTGATTAGATATTCACCTATATCATATACATTAGCTATTGATTAGCATACGCTTTACGCTCATTGACTGTAGGCATCACTTGTGCTCCGGCAAGAGCGGCAAGTGTTTCCTCCTGGAGGCTGCAGCATGACGACACGACTGAGTGACCTCCCATATGTTGTGACGGGACGGGTGTGTGACTACCTCAATATTCCCAGTGCCCTGGGTAAGGACTGGCGATACCTGGCAGGTAAGAATATCTTTTTTTGACATTGTCATCCACCATTGCGATCTAACTGAATTCAGATAGGCAATTTTCTAATGGCCACAGTTGCCCTTTCAGCCCCTAAAGAATATGACAACATGAAACATATTTGTCCGGACAAGCGAATTTACGGATAACAGAATCCCTTGCCAGTTACTTTCTCCACCCACATTCAAATTAAATCATCGTAAATATGGTTTTAGAATTATGTGAGTTGTATTTCGTGTTCTGCTGGACATTGTGGAAATTATAGTCCAGGATCCAGCATTTTATTTGCAGCGTTTACTATACATGTTTAAAATGATAAGGACTGATATTGTACGAAGTGTCGAACACTTTGATCTGTCAGTTTAATCACGCACCACTGCAAGAGATCGCCCGCTGTGTTGTCTGTCCTGTGGGAAGACGTTATTTTGGCGCGGAGGGTGAGCTGCCTAAGGCGCCAGGCTAGTGATCCAGCGAGGTCTAGGTGTCGGGATCGAGCCCACCTGTGACCGGGTGTAAAAACCTTGCAGTCAACTTTGTGTGCAGACTCTTTCAGTGATGCACAACCCCTAGTGTACAATACACAACCCTGTGCCCACGAATCCGTTGGTATATGACCAGATGGTGGCCACATGAATACATGCAAACACCTACAAAAAAAAGGACAGCAACGTGCAGTGAACTTGGACAAAGCACTGTGAATATGTGTCCCAGTCCACCCAGCTGTGAATGGGTACCTCGTTCGGATGAGAAAGCCACAATAACTCGGTGCGCCTAGTGGCTGCAAAAGTTGCATACACAGGAACCCGTTATCGCCATGTAGGTTATAACATAGACTATATACGCCCATCATATATATAAATAGAATTCTCTATTTATCATCCAAAACTGTGTTCAACAGGAGATATTGTGTAAGATCATATGATATCTCCTAGGAGATATCGTTTTGACAGTAGATTTGAACAATGCCCTGACAATGCTATGACGTCATCAACTTGATGACGTCACAATGCTATGACATCGCTGCACTGTAAGTCTAATGGTAGTTCAGTGTTGAGAGACGTACATTTTTCATTGAAAACTAATGAAGAATGATTTTTGATGATAAATACAATCTAACCCTCGTGTCTACTGATATCAATTATATCAACACTCGTTGATAATGGTTAAAATATCCTCGGCAAGCCTCGGATATTTGCAACTTTATAAACTCGTGTTGATATAATTGATATCAGTAGACACTTGGGTGAGATTCTCTATTTATATATATGAGGGGCATGTAGATCTATGGTCCATGTATAACCTACATGGCGATAACGGGTTCCTGTGGTTGCATAGTCCCCAGGGAGTTGAGATTCATAATGCGATGTGCCGTTGAGATTGAAATCCAATGACCGAGGGAAAAATACCAGCGCCTTGAGCATGCACTAGATGCCTGGATATGTGCGCTATATAAATATCCTATAATAATAGTCAAAATACCATAAATGTTGCTTCAGACACCAACGTGTCAAATATAGGTTTTATATGCGTCCATTCTCTGTCACCTAACATTCATGTAGATGCCATGGTTATGGTTAATGCAGATAACGGGGAGTTCGTGCTATTTCACACGATTTCGCCGAACTTAAACGTAAGCAATATTGAATGTAAATGGTAAGAGAATTAATAAAATAGATTACAAACTTAAGTCATTTATGTGTGTAGATATGTGTACATAAATACGTATTTCCTTTGTGTTAGGAATGCTTGGAAAGACGTCACACGATGTTGAGCTGATCACATTTCGCTGCCCCAGAGACCCATGTGGGGCTCTTCTTAACGACTGGATCTCAACACATCCTAGATCTACTGTTGCCGACCTGGTCATCAAACTGAAGGACATGGAGCGTTTGGATGTCATCAGCGTCCTGGGCGTAGACTGGGAGAACATGTAACGGTAATCTACGGACGAAGGAAGGACATGGGCCGGGTCCTGCATTGTCTTCAGTTAGAATTATGTCACGGTGATCTTCAGACCAAGATCGCGATTGAACTCAATCAGTAGAAGATCAGGGACGAACTGGATCCCCATACACAAAGCTTTCGTAACGTTACGACCTGTCGTAACTCTACAGTTTATCATAGGCTTGCGAATGTCGTAACGTTTTGTGAATCGGGACCCTGGCACAACCCACTACAACGTGCTATGACATCAGTGACATGGGGCATCATGGTTTCAAGAGAATGCATGGTTTATCGCTCACTGTCATCTCAATTCTCACAGTTACAATACACGTACCCTCAGTTATATTGGCGGTCCATGTGGCCAGGAGACTGTTGTGAGCTACGATGATTGAGGATAACAGATCATTGACAGCATTAGCAACAAGCACTGGGGTATCACGTGCATGCAACGTTTGGACATGCAATAATTGCAAGTGTTATATGTGCAAGACTTAAACATCCGGTGATATTTATTCACAGTATATTTAAAAGGAAGAGGTGTCTACCATAATTTTGTAATATTTTTTACTCTGTTTACCAATAAATATTTGGTTATAAGATTCAGTTCGTTTTCGTTGGTGAGTTAGTTAATACAGGAAGTATTCCCGCACAGGCCTCAAGTAGGTAATAGTGCCCCGCCAAGCCAGTGGTAGATATCGGAACCCCTTATCCCGGCCTAGTGAGGATGGTTCATTCTCGGCCAGGACATGCGGTAACACCTACCCAGTCGTCTTATTAGACATTCACAGAAGACACAGTTATATCAAGCTTTAATTACCCTTTAACATGTCATTAAAACTCCCTTACGCAGATAGACATTACCAGAGAGTAAATAGCCCTGCAATGTGTCGTGCTGTTCTTAGTTACTCGTAATATCAGTAAAGGTGCAACAACCTGGTTCCTTACCATTTGAACACTTAGGAACGCATTTATAGGCATCACAATGAAGGTCAAATCAACGTTCCGAACGAGTAGATTTGAATGATTACATTAGCTAACACATTCAGAATTGTATGTATCATATGATGTTCATTGCACTCAATAGTTCATGAAGGGTTTGATACAACCAGGGGTCGTATTTTCAGACAAATGAAGTAATGAAAAAAATCATCGTTTATTTGTGGTAAAACTTACAAGTCATATTTATCAATAGACTTTACTATTAAGACTCCCCTTGCCCGAGTTCATCAACAAGAGAAACAAAATGGCTGCCAGACGTAGTCCAAGAATATTTAATGAACAAAGAGACGTTTTACATCCATTGACAATGAACTTATACAGTGGTACAAATTTGACAGAAACAGTATTATCAATATATGTGACTTATAGCTAAATTTACTCGAGCAGGAACTAAGATGCACCTTGAGCTTCATTACCTAGGTGATTGTCTTTTTGGCCATTCACGATATACACACGAATACTTTGTATCAACCTTCAGTTATTGTTGATCTATGGACAGTTTTCATATTGCTTTGTCCTCAGTAGTAAATACATGTAGTTTCAGATTTACATGCCAGTTTTACATCTATATCTGTGACATTCTAGTCCTTTGTCGACTGGTTTTTATTATTATGTCATGACATGTTTAGTCACGATATGGCTTAAAGACTGCCGAGGTGACCAAAGATCTTCACTCATTCGCTCGCTGCTATGGGCATATCAGCATTTGCATTTACGTGTGTGTGTGTGTGTGTGCGTGTGCGCGTGCGTGCGCGTGCGTATGTATGTATGTATGCCAAGTTGAAGAATATTGACGTTTCACATTCATTTGATGACAATTAACTTAAACAGTGGTACAAATTTGACAGTATTTAGTGCAGGGGCTTATGTAGCACATATGCTTTCCGTGAAAAGTGCATGTTAAGTTTTTGGAACCACTGATAATTGTAATCAGTATTGCATATGGATTCGGAAAAAAACATGGTTCCATTTTTTTCGGATGATTATAAGTGTCATTCTGGGGTAACTGAACATCGGTACCCATAATCGAGCTGCAACACCAATGTGAGAAAAACATATGTTTATAAACCTAGCACAACATAGGCATGTAGTATGTCAAAATATACCTTGTGATGGGTGTTTTACAACTACAATTATATATCATGAATCTCAGTAATATATGTATGCATAATAATCACTATGATCATAATAATTACCTCTGCCAAAACCGAAGGTTTGTAGCAAAGGGTATGTATTCGTTGCTGTTTGTAAAGCAACTTTACTCAAAAACTACTCGATGGATTTCAATGAAACATACTGGATCTCTTGGGTATGTCCCCAGGGCAAATCAGTTAGATGTTGAAGAAAGTACACTCTTCAAAAAAGAAACGCAAAGGCAAAATATCATTGAAAAATTTGGTCTTATTCAATTATATGTAAATCAACGAAAATAAACGGTACAGCATTGAAATTATGTAGAGCAATACATTGGTATCTCGTGCAAATTTCACAAGAATGACAGTCAACAGAGTCACTACTGCTGTCCACGAGGTGGGGTTGACATTACTGCCTTGTATGGCCACCTCTTACTGCTAGAACTGCATGGCACCTCCTTGACACAGATCGAATCAGTTGTGGATGTTTCGTTGTGGAATCATTCTCCATTCCTCCTGATGCTGAACAACTGTTGAAGGGTCATTTGCGGATTACGACGTTGATTTACACGTTTATCGATCTGATCCCACAGATAATCAATTGGTTTCAGATCCGGGGATCTGGAGGGCCAGGGGAGAACACTTGTGTTGTTATTGGCCAGGTAGTTCACTGTAACACGTGCTGTGTGATGTCTGGTGTTGTCATGTTGTTACAGCTCCCTCTGGCGGTCGACAAGGCGATCCATGTGAGGACAGAGAATCTGGTCGATATATCGAGCGGCCGTTAGACTGCCTTGGACGAGCACCATTTCCGATCTGCAGGTGTATGAGATGGCTGCCCACACTATGACACCATCTCAACCAAATCTGTCCACTTGCCTGATGCAGTTGGGTGCAAAACGTCCATTGCGTGCTCTGTAGACACATTGTCTTCCGTCACGTCGCTTGAGGGGATACCACTCTCTGAACCATATAATGTGCCTCAGTTTCCATGGTTGCACAGTGTTACACCACCTGACTCGCGGACGTTGATGTCATCGTGTCAGAGAGGGTGCAACTTTTGGACGTCTGGCACCCAATACCTGCCTCTCGGAGACGGTTCCTGATTGTCTGGTTGGACATTCTCCGGGCTCCAACCCGTTCTTGTGCTGTGTTCCGGGCGGAACGATGGCAGTCACGTAGGTGGGTTACCCGAATGTACCGATCTTGGGCTGGTGTGGTGACTCGCGGTCTTCCTGGTCGTGGATGATCACTTGTCGAATTGGAATGCACAAAAAGATCCCACAAACGAGATGGATTGGATTTGAATGAATCTTGGTAGTTATGTTAGGTATGACACAAGGGTTATTTGCGTACGGTTTGGTAAAAGTACATTAAAGTACAAGTACACATTAATACTTTAAAAATGTAATAGTGAAAGGAGATTGCTGTGCAAGGCGGAGGCATGTTGTTCTCTAACGCGGGCCCTTCTAGTTTCCAAATTAAGAAAAAATATGCGTAGAAGTCATGCTTGTGTCTGTGTGTCAAATAGTTTCGAAGCTTGGATTTCAACAGCATATTTTGTTTTTGCAGGTTAATGACGGATTGATGACAATGCAAGTTACTTAACAATGCTAAATCCTTGGGGAAGTTAAAATAAATATACTAGTACACATTATATATTGCACTTGCATACCCAACTTGTATTATGTAGTTATCCGTTCACTATGATATAATTTGTCACTCCAGTATTAATACATTCAGTTTATATTGACTGCAGGTTTGGCTTTATGTCATTTGTCATTTAATTAAACACACACGAGTGACTGTACTGGTAGGCCTGATTTGACACTTGTGCATGCATGACTATATGATAGCACTTTTATTACTACATAAGTGTGTCATGGTAGTATGTATACTGAACAGCAAAAGTAACGCAAGTCTGGCTTTTGTCAAGTTTTTTAATAGAAAACAACCAAAATCATGTCTAATCATTTATTCTATAGAAAACACTGTCAATTTAACAGTTGAAAGTTGCTGTTGACATTGAATTGCAATACGTTCAAATTGATCACAGTCCGTCAAATGGAGATAACCCTGAACGCGAAAAGTGACAGTCTCTTTAGTAGCGCGTAAAGCCACCTTGACCTCGCACACAGGCTGTGCAACGTGGCCTCATTGAGTTCACTAGAGTCTGAAAGACTGCCTGAGGCAACTGGTTCCGCTCAAACACCAATCTGTATTCCAATTGTGCAAGTGTGAGTGGCTGTCTACCTGCCCCAATCCTCTGTCCAGTTTCGTCCCAGAATGTTCAAAGGGAGCCATATCCGGGAAAGAGACGGCCATGGAAAAATGTTAACGCTGTTCTGAGCCAGATGATCCATCAACATCCTTGCTGGCGTTGTTGACGTGTCAAAACTGGCCCCACATATGGCCGTCGGCAGTGGATTCCGGCAGCCCGAAGACGACGCCTAATCGTATCGCTGGACACTGCTCCACTTGACCCAAGAACTAAGGCTGCTGTTACTGTTGCTGCTTGAGTTCGGTTCTTTAGATGAGTGACCCGGATGAACCGATCTTGCGTATGAGTTGTCACTCGTTGCCGTCCGGTACGGGGACGATCAGCAGCAACTCCGATTTGCTGATGACGTTGAGCAAGTCGCGTAATGTGGTAAGATGACAGCCCAATTGCCTAGCTACAGCGGTTGCAGAGCTACCTCCGTGCAACTTTCCAATGGCCACTCCCCTCTGCTCAGTCGTTAGTCTAGGCATCGTTTGTGTGGCGTTTACACCTCCTAGCGTCAATACTGAACTGTTGTTTGACACAAACCTTTATAAAGAATACCTCAGAGTGAAATGCATGCTTTCGATCCAGAACCGTGTACGTACGTGCTAAAATTATGGTTTTGCTGCACTGTTGGTGTGTTTGTGCGAATGGTTCGTATGGACGTCAAATTGCATGACATCATCTCATCTGGGATCATTACGTCACTTTACCATGAACGTTCCATAAACATGAACGCTTACCTTCATGAGATTTCATTTTTTCGAAACTTGCGTTTCTTTTGCTGTTCAGTATATTATGAAATGGGAGAATATATTAATTGAACAAATGGTTTCCATTAATGTAGGCCAATACTTACAATGTTGGTGTCCTTTGAAGGAAAGACAATATTTGATTAATTCATATGATTATGTTATATTTATGTCACCAAATTGAAATTAGAAGCATATTATGTGGTTATCTCTATATCATGCATCATAAGCTGCCTTTGGATATGCTACATGACTATGTTGGCATAAGTTTAGGAAAATATGTTTGTCTCGAAATGATGCAATTTTTGGGAACTCATTTTCAATTACCCCACAATGTATGACACTTATAGCAAACAGAAAAAATGGAACCATGTATTTTTTTCTGAATCCATACACAATAGTGATTACAATTAGTATTGGTTCCAACAATTAACATGTAATTCCCACGGA